TAATGATTCAGGCTATATGATGGTAGGCTGTGACAGAAAGCTGGCTGTCACCACTGTGGGCTCAACTGGTGCTCTCACGCTTTGTTATGGTCATCTAAAAACTGTAATTAGTTGTAGAAGCTAGGGCCTGGCGGCTCGGAAGATATCGGGATGTAACGGAAAGATAGTCACCCCCCTCCTCCACAGTGTATGGTAATGACCCCCGTAATTAGCCAGTAGCACCTAGCGGTGATGAAAGCAGATGGGAGTAACACAGTGACCCTAGGTTATAAAATGTCAAATTCTCCAGCAATAAATGCCATTTTGCCATCCATCACATTGATGCCTTGTGTGCAAAAGGACCGAGTGGCCTGGGTGTGGCTACCGTGCTGCTCTTGAACCAGGGTGTCTGCCTTGCTTAAAAGGCAACAATTAGTAATACAAACATTTCAGGTTCTTCTGTGTATTACACCTGGACTGCATTCTGACTGCAACACTGATAGAGTGTTGTCTACATAAATAGAAACCTGCTTCCTATGCCAGTTGGAGATGAATTTTACATTTTTGGTTCCAGGCACATTTTCGGAAATTATGCATGAACATTGAATGAACCTCTTTTTTTGCTGTTGTTGCTTTTTTAACTGGGATAGATTTCTTTCCAGGTTAAGAATTCATCAGGGCTTCTTGATTTGAATGTTCTGAATAGTTCTAAATAACAACATTACTTGTTGTCACAATATCCAATACTTGGTGTAAAATCCTCTTGATGTCTGATTACTCTTCATAAGGACCTCACACTGATTCATTTCAAACCGTGAATTACCTTTAATTCATAGCTTGCACGTGCTGCCAAATTTTGTTTTCTATGTTACCAGGTGTCTGTCCCTGACACAGAGGAGATCTTCCAAAAAGCCATTAGATACTTATGAAAAGAATTTAGATGTTGAGAAGCACATTTCCATTTTCAAACATGCTTCCATCAAGTATTATAATAATATTTGAGGTTAGAAAAGTACTGGTGTTTATTTGAATTATTTTGGAACTGTGAAGTGAAATCCTGGCCCAACTGAAAGAAGTGCTGAGCACACTTAGGAAAATCCTTGCTGAAATATCACAAAAAGATTTTCAGCTGCTTGCTTTAGTTTTAAGCTCACTGTATTTAGCTGCTCTTTAGTCCCCACACAGGTTGAATATCATTAAGTATGATGGATAACAAAAACTCCATAAGGATAAAACAAGTTGGTTTTGTCTGATCCATAAAAATTTGCTGCTTTAAGTTTTTAATGGTTTCTGGTAGTACACTGAGCCCATGAGAAGGGCCTTTTAATACTCTATTAATACAGTAAGTATAGGAAGGAATTTTATGACAGGGGAAGAATACAATTATGATTACATTATTCTTTTTTGTGAGGCTTTTATGGAAACTACCCAAGACTTCTCTGCAGTATGATTTTGAAACACAGGATGTGCTTGATTAAAAAGGTTCTGGGTAGTTTCCAACTGGAGAAAGGCCAAATGCTAACAACCAAAACAGAACAGAAGGACTGGATGTTTGAGGATGACATATTGCAATGGCAATTATATAACAGAAACCCCAGTCATGAGCTGAGTCCGTCCCCTCAAATTCATGGAAGCTGACAGAAAATCCTTTGCAATGCTATTGGTTGCACCTTATCTGTTCCTACTTACTAAGCTTCATAATAAACTAATCAGAGCAGACTGCCTGAACAAGACGGCCCAATGCTAAGCAAAAATTTACAGTGAATCTGAAATTACAGAAAAAGGAAACCAAGTGCTTCAGTTTTACACAGTCTAATTTCAGCTGTAAAAATTCAACACAGTACACACACACACATGCATGCACATCAGTGTTCAAAATTTCATTTTCAAGATTTTTGAGTGTAAATTAGGATGTGAGTTTAGTCATAAATACATATTCTCATGTACAACATAGGTGCAGAATTTAGACACAATCCTACTGTATGTTTTATTTTACCTGCTGCACTGGTGATTGGATTTATTCAGCATGTGGATGTAATGACGTATATTGAAACATTATAAAAAGGATGAAATTTGTATTTCAGAAAGCTTTACTTGGACAAGAAGCCATGCTTCTTGCATTTCCCTACAACAGCAGCACATTGGTAAATTAATTCACCTTGCAGTATGTTGTCCTCATTTTCCCCCAGATGTGTGCAGCTGAAAGGTTATTTTACAAAAATCATACATCCCTCAGTCCAATCTTCTATGATGCCAATGTCCCTACTCCTGAACTCTGTAATGACATACAGACAGCTTGGCTGCTGGAGCAGGATGCAGCATATGAAGATAAAATATCTCTGTTGTACGTTCAACCCTCAACTAGTCATAGTATAACTCAGCAATATGGTGAATGCAAGCACGTTATTACCAATTCCTTTGAATCTCTAACAAAAACCATGGAATCTACAGGACTGTCACTAGGACCAATGTAAACAGAAAAGATAATTTAAGTTTCATCTTAATTGCACATGAACTTTAAAAAGCTGGGTAACAGCTAGAAACATATCCAGGTTAAAATGACTCTAACAAAGCATACAGATGAACAGTCAAATTCAGATTTGATCAAACTGAAATATGGATGAGATATCTTATCTACAAAATATGTAACTGGCAGGGGATAGAGTTTTGAAGTCAGTAAGACCACACTGTGTGGCTGAGACTGTAGCAGCAGATGTTACTGGGGATAAACTGGACTGTAATTTCACTCATATACTCCAATATCCCCAAAACTGACAAATGTTAGAAAGACTAAATCCTCCTTTATACACTTGCAATCTGATAAACACTCTGTCTTTAAAATATACAATGACTGCAGGAGCTGTCTACCTAACAGGGTTTGTTTGGACTGCACTATCAGTTCTACTTGATACCATTGCATCTTTCTGTCCCACTCCTGCTTTAATTTCATTATGTGCTTGAGTACTGCAATTCCCCATGAAGGTAGCGGTAACTGCACACACAGATCTAAAGAAACACATTGGCCTTGTAATACCAAGCCTCATGGTGGACTGCCTTCTAACCTCCCAAAGCCCTGTGGAAATTCTTAGAAGCTGCCTTAACAATTTTTCTGCAGTAAAAGAGAAAAAGTGATAGTAATGGGTTAGCTGATCTTCATTTGGAAGCTAAAAATAAAAGTAGCTTTATTGCAGCTCTGATCTCTCATGTGTAAAATCTATCACCTACCATAAGAAGGCAGTTCATTGCAGCAGAAATCTGATTGATAATACTAGAACTTTAGATCAAGCAGCAGAACAGAGAACAACCGGTTCATAAAATGTACTCAGTGTCTTCAGGTTTTATATCAGGCTTCCTATAGAGAGCTTTGGTACCATTAAATGCACTATATACCACTGAGCTCTGAAGCACTGTTCTTGTGAAATTCAGCTTATAACTATAAACCATGATTGACAAGTCTATTACTGTTGGTTACAAACTACTGAAATATTGTGTTTTATGGTACACTCACTAAAATATTTTTCACAGTGGAGTCCAAATACATTTGCTTTTAGAGGAAAATAATTTTAAGATGCAATAATATTTTTTCATTTTTTTAAATTATGGAATGTACTTGATGTTATGTTTGGATCACTTGGATGTTCTGAAACATTAATGCACCCGTTCTGTTACCAAGAGCTGTGGGTACAGTTGGCTAGTCTTCACAAAAAAGAAAGTCATTGGAAACCAAACAGCAAAGGGCAAAAATTAATTTGTTACTAAGTTTAATAAATAAATGCTATTTCTGCAAATTAATCTAAATATCATTATTATTCCTATCTAATTCTCATTTAATCTGGGAAAAAGTATTTAATTTTAAAAACTGATCATTCACTCAGCATCAATTTGGAAAAGGTTTACTCAGCCAACTGTACTTGAATGAGTACTTCCATGAACTTGAGTTTATGAGTAAAGAACTGGATCTTCAGAGCCTGCTGTGTACATCAACGAATTCAGTACCCATATCTGCTCTAGTCCTGTATCTCTCACACAGCCACAGACACATCACTGAACTCCAACAAGCCCATTTGTGTGCACACACTTGAACTAATAATCAGTATATTTAAATTAATTTTTTAAACTTGTGTAGGTATCTCCACATTGATTTTTCTTCCCCTATAGGGATTTTTAAAATTGTGTCTTTAGTAGATTAAGCGCAACCACTAGAATAATTTTGAAATAATTTTAAATGAACATACTGTATTTACACAACTGTCAGTTAAGCTAGTGCAGTTCTGCATTCAGTACTTCAGAACAGTTAACACTAAAAAACCCAGCAGCTCTGAACTGAAATCAGATCCATGCATTTTCATAAGTATAAAACAATTGCCTACTATTCAAAGTTGCTATTTAGGTCCTGTTTGCAAATTAGAGAACCTGGGATAAAAGTAAAAAACAATTCAGTCTCCACTCACTGCTACACTAGTGCAGCCTTACACCAGAGAAGCACCAAAGAGAAATTGTTTAACATAATGGAGAATTAGCTCTTTCACAATTTTCAACTGTCATGTTTATATATCATCTATGATTTTCAGCTGTTTTTAAGTGTATGAAACTCAAGACTAGATTTTCAACACCAGCTAGCAGAATCATTCCGTATGATGTGTTTTACTCTCACTGTATGAAGGTAAAAATTCCTGCATCATCTGTTCATTGGGTTGCATTTGCTATTGTAAGAGGCTTAGTATCTGATGAGAGAAGCATAAAATTGATTTAATTTTGGTAAGCTGTAGAACTAAAATCAGCATTACTTCTGCTTAATAAACTCATCTTTCACACATACCTCTGTTAGCTAATGCTTAAAAAGAAGAAAGAGTAATAAGCACTGGAAACATAAAACTGGTTTATGGCTAATTTTTAAGGACTACATGGAACACCTGAACACCAGGACAAGATTATGAGCAGAGCTTATTTGGAGAAATAAGCTCATTCTTTACGATAAATTTAAAATGAGATTTAAAGCTGGAAATAATAATACTACTTACGACTTCTGTGGCACTGACTTAGTTGCAACTTTCCCTGCTGGATCACTCCACTCTGCAAACAAAGGAAACACATTTTCTAATGTCAAAAGATTACTGTAGAATTAAAATGCACCCAAAGCTGTCAGCCCATCTAATTATACTTGGTTTCACAACATGCCACAATGCATAACATGTAATAAAAATGGAACTGATCTGCTTTAGCACCATAGAAATTAATTTTTTAGCCTTTGTTTCAATGACATTAAACAGACAAAAAAAATACCCAACCCTGACTGATAGGACTAGGATGATAAAGACCTACTTTGTACATTGTATCCTGAGGTCAGATGTTGGGAGTCCTACAAAGAAGAACACACAAAATGTCAGCATTAGTTAAATAAGATGAAGAAGGTAAAATATATCTTGGCTTGCTAGATTAAGGGCACTGGCGTTATACTAACAGGGAAGGAGATGGCACAGGGAAGGGATTGTTAAGGCAGCACCAATGGCATTAGTTTAAAAAAGCATTAACTGTGGAGACAAAGCACCACTGAGGGACCCTTCAGAGCTCAGGTATGTCCTCAGCTGCTGTAAATCTACACTCCCCCTTATGGAGACACTGCACGGGTTTACACCCATAGCAGCCCCATTTCTCAGGCTTGGCCATGGATATGTGTAGGAGCCATCCAGGATGTATAATTTAGAACACAGCATGAATGCAGTTATGCATTAAATTCAGTGCCATTGCCTTTCTTTTGTTTGAGCTCACCGCCTGGAAATACAATAATCTTCTATGAGTAGTCACTTTTTATTTGGACTGTGACACACAGGATTTGATAAAGATGTGGGAGGCAGATCTTCACCTGATGGAAATTAGTCCGAATCCAATAAAGTCAATGGAAGTACACCAACTTAAAAGCAGAAAATAACATGGCTTGCAACACTGAGTATGCTAATGCAAGGATTCTTGTTGGCTTACAATAACTAAGCTGTTTCCTTAATGTCACAGTGTTTTCTGGCTTAGTTTTTCTCTAGGCTCTGTAGTACACAGTGATTGTCATTAGCTTTCCTTCCAAGCTGAATTTGATCAGTTAAAATTAAGGAGTTATTTACAACCTCATCCTACAGCCAGGCACTACTTTGCTGGAAGTGTTAGTACTGTAGGATGTTAAAGTCATTAAAGCCCTCACTGCACTTCCTCTTAGGGCATTATTAGTTCTTAATATTATATTGTGCTGTCAGTCAGTCCCTTGTGAAGTAAATAATGCCCTAAGAGTAAACATGGCACTTTAAATTTGAATGTCAAAGGAATAAATTGTTTTGATAAGTTCCACCTCTTTTATCACACTTTTTAAATATATGTTTCTTATGAGAATACCTTTTTTAATAGCTAAATTGAAAACTTCTAATAGTGCCCGTCTCTGGTTTATATGGCTGCACAACCTAGCCATATTATGTCCTAGATGTGGAATTTGGCCAGCCATAATTGATTTAAAGTGATGTTCTGAAGAGACACTTCTGTTCTATTTTTTAAAGGAAGACTAGCAAACATGGAAATATTTGTGTGCTTGCCTATTTCCTGCAATGCTAGCTCAAAAAAAATCTAATTTGTATTTTTTATTGAAGTGATATAGTCAAGAATTTTAGGATCAACATTTAATGTGCCCAGAAATAAACTTTGATGTGGATCTTAAAAGTTCGAAGCCAATTCAATAGAAACCGAAAAGCAAACCCAAAATTTTACCTTCTCTGAACCTATGCTTATACTTCTACCAATGGAGATAGTGTCAGTCTGCAGGATTCAAACCAGTTTCTGTAGTGCTCATCAGAAACAGAACACTAAATTAAGAGATGGTATGAATTAAAAAAAACAAAAACAAGCTTCCAGCAGGTTTAAACTTCTATTCAAATAGTTCACTTTAAAGCATTCAAGTGACTTCTACTTAATTTACAATGAGAATTATGAGAATTATGTATGAGCCTACAAGAAAGATGAAGAGGGGCTATCTATAAGCACATATAGTGACAGGACAAGGGGAAATGGCTTCAGACTGAGAGTAGGTTTAAATTATATATTAGGAAAAAATTCTGTACTGTGAGGGTGGTGAGGCACTAGAACAGATTGTCCAGAAAAGCTGTGGATGTCCCATCCCTGGAAATGTTCATGGCCAGGCTGGATGTGGCTCAGAGCAACCTGGTCTAGTGCAAGGTGTCTCTGCCCAAGGCAGGGAACTAGATGAAAGCAGATAATCTTTAAGGTCCCTTCCAACCCAGGCCATTCTCTGATTCAATGAGTTCTGATGTTTCACACTGCAGCAGGAAACTGCAGTGACAGTTTCTGTGCTAGGGCAGTAACAATCACACTCCAAATAAGACATTCTGGGCACTGCCTTTAGTTTTGTTTAAGAAGCCACAGATATTGTTAATTTAATTTCTTTCCAACTAAGTATGGTGTCAATATTTCAGATAGGGGAAATCAGCAAAAGCAAAATCACATTCCAGCTTCTAAACCAGGATATGATTGCTTGAACTATAATGTTAATCAGTACCAGTTTAATAAGCTATTTTTCAAGATCCCGCCTTTATAAAAAAAAACTTTTATGCAGCTCCATGACAGAATGGTATAAATTTCCCACCCTGGGGAAGTTCTCTTCTTCCCCAAACATCATCAGCTCAGAGTTGTTCAGGTTCCAACATGAGATTCTACCTCTGGCAGAACCTGCAGTGCTACTGGAATCATAGCCAGAAGGCAGTAATGTAATTTGGGCTAAGGGCATCTTCAAATCATACAATTTAACAATTCAGTGTGTGTTACATGAACTAGAAGCACTCTCTGGGCAAGTGCTGAGTGTGTGCCTTTAACAAGGCCAGTACTGAGGATCAAATTGCCTGACTCTGTGCCTCCCTCTGGGGTGTGACACAGACACATTGCGCTCTTCACATGCAGTCATTTGCATTTCAGTCACCACAACTTGACTATGCAGCCAAAACCTCACCACACAATCAATCAGTAAGTGGGAAAAAGTGTCCATTTCAAACCTTTTCATTGCACAAATAATAATGGAAGAAAACAAACAAAAGATATTTTACTTGACATAGAAAAGACTCCTATAACAGAGATAAAAAGCTCACTTTGCTTCTACTGGGTGTTCTGAAGCTTTAAACAAACAGTTCTACTAGTAGCAACAGTCTGATTGGGAATTTCCAACTAAAAATAGTATCAGAAATTTTTTTAAGTGGGACCAATTACCAAAAAAAAACTCGCCAGCAAAGAGCACTCCACACAACAGAATGCTAATCAGGTCACTGGTATTAGCCCACTTGTACCTTGTTTGGGATAGAAAACTTGGTCTGCTCAGCCTTGCCGGGAGTGTGAATAGCAGTAAGAGGAGGAGGCCAGGAATGGGTCATCTCCTAGGAAGAAATAAAAAGTTTAGAAAACAAATTCCTGTACATAAAGAAGAAAGAGAGCTAAAAATGGTCACATCTGCTCCACTGAGCCTGGAGATGCAATTGCTCAAGGAATCGACCCCACCACCTCACACCCTTAGGTCACAGATGAACGCCTTAACCCCACAGGCAGGACTACCTCAGAATGAGAGTGAGGACAGGTTTTACTCTTGAAAATTGTGATCATCATGTCTTCATCAGAGGGCAACTGGCTCTACCTCTGTGGTCAGCCAGCCAAGCTGTATGAATAAAGCAGGGTTTTACCTGCAAAGTCCAGGCAGGAAGGGGGCCCTCCTGTATAGTACTGCGTGCAACCCTGTGAAGGAGTGCATTGTGGCAAGATGCAGCCCTGTTCAAGACTACAGAGAGGCAAAATAAAAGAGGCAGGCCTAGAAAAATCTGGAATGGGCTTGCAGCATGAATGCCTAGTGTAGCAGAGAGCAAGGACAGGACCACAGCATCTTCTCGTGATACTGTCCATCGGCTATTACTGTGGCAAGCAATGTCACTGCCTCAGAATGATTAATTACTCCAGAACTATTAATTCCACTTTAAAATGAGGGACTGAGAATCAGGTGACTCGCACAGATTCAAAAAGTCTGTACTTAACCAGGAAATCCAAGTGTCCAGTAAAACCTGCCAACCAGACCATTTAAGCAAAATCCATCCATTTTCTGTATCTGTGTGTTTATTCATCATTTGTACATTCAATTCCCAATTTTCTTTAAAGAAAAATCTTGAGTGTCCATGGCTACCAAACACCAGCAGAAGAGCAGGATACACCCTCTCCTTCCCACTGCAGGGAACTGCTCCCCCAGCAAGCCCAACAGCACACCGGGGCTTGTGCTTGTAGCAGGGGGAAAATCACTAAAACCAAGAAACTGCACAAGTGCTGACTTAGGCAGAGCTTTTAAATGCCCTTCTAATTAGTGTGAGACACTGCTTCTTTCTTGCTTATCTTTGTTTTTATTTTAATAAAAATCCAAAGAGGCAGTAACAGTTGTCTCTGGCATTCTGTTGCATTTCTGTCTTGGTTGTTTTATTTTGCCTAAAAAGCTCAGAAAGAATTCTTTATTGAGACAAGGGAGGCAAAGAGAAGAACATACAATCTTGAAATTCTTATGTGCAATGGCCTGACTGCAGTAAACTGCACTTCCCAGCTGCTATTACACACTAGTCAAACCCAGGGCTGGTCACAATGAAGCTTATAAACACGCCAGTTTCTGCAGGTAACATGACAACCACTCAAATGATCCACAAATAAAAACATAACATAACACAATTGATTAAGAGGTGGGGTGCATTTTGGCTAAACACATGCCCTGGTTGACTACAGCTGATACTAATTACAGTTCACTGAAGATAAAGCCAGCCAGTTTCAGAACTATAGTTGTCCCCCCCAAATTATTTGTCATACAGAAGGTTAGGAGAGAGAAAGCAAAACTATACACCATGGTTCTCAGTCACTGGGACAGGCAGACATATAAACTCCCTTGGGTAGATGGGTCAGGCTGCACTCCTGAAAGCAGAACTTCTGGGTTTCTGCTGTGGAGCCCAGGGTCCGTTCTCACTGCACAAAGCCTGAACAGTGGCAGTGAGGAGGAAAGGAGCAATTGTTGAATGGCTCATCCCTCCCGCTGTGTGAGGCTGTGGCAGCTCAGGGCCATGACAGGAAGAGCACTATTAAATGGCATTGATTGTCTGACCTCTGGACTGGGAAGGCAGAAAAAGATTTCAGCATCCCGTGAACTTTTCTGTGGGATAATATAATCCAAATCCTGCATGCCTCGGCCAAATACTATGCCACAGAGGTTGCTTTGTGGCAAATCTCTTCATAGCAAATGATGAAATGGAGACTGTTATCACATAATTAAAAGAGGGCCAGGCATTCTGACAGAAGGCAGAAATGAAGGCTATTCTAGAACTACAGTTATAGGCTTGACCTCAATCTCTTCCTGCCCCCACAAAAAAATGCTGTACAGAGAGCCTGGGATTCATGGAGAGGTGATGTCAGCAAACACTTCAGAATATTGCCTGTCAAAACACATGTAGTGTCCATTGCTTACTTACTTGGCAGGCTGAAGAGTAAGCAAACCTAGTCACCTCCCTATTAGGGGACACGTGAACATAAAACAATGAGAAAAGGAGCCTGCTATTCAGGAGGAAATTCATGAGGAAACGAGGAATTTCAATTTGAAGGAATTCAAAATTCCTCAAAATGAGGAAATTCAATTACAAGGTAAGAAATCCTGCCTCCACTGAGGTTAGGACTATCCAATCTCTGTGTTTATAGTGACCTCGTGAGCATCAGAATCTCTTACAAAGGTACAACCTAGCTACATTGAAGCATTTCATTCAATTCTCACTGCAATGAAATTATTGGACAGAAAATTCCAGATTCCACACATGCATAATAGCACAAACATTTAAAGCTCAGCATATAAACCAACACCGTGTGTGGAAGTGATAAAGAACATAGTTAGCTAAAGAAACATACTACATCTACCTACAGACAGGTGCCAGAGCACTGTCGACCAAATAACCTTGAACAGTGGTAGAGAAAGTTTTGAGTTTACTCATCTGAAAAATGTCACTTTAAAATGTCTGGGCAGCAACCCCCACAGCAACCATCACACAGCTGCATGTTCCAGTCATGCAGATCTGAGCTACAGAAGGACCTGAAAAAATGGCACTGCACTGCTGTCAGTAAAGGGTCAAAATCCCAACCCCACACCCTGCAGGGATGTGACTGCTTGTTCCTACTCCATTCCTTAAGCACAGATAGGTTACCCTGGAGTATCAGAAGAAAATACGTAATTTATTTAATAATCCACATGACTTCACCATTCTTTCTTGTGCCCCAGTTTCTTCTGGAGGTCCCTGATCTTTACGTACTTGCTAAGCCCTATTTTGTTTAGCTTGTGAAATCTGATATATCTACCTTCTAATATGTTAAGCCTATAAAGAACCACACAGACAGTGTGTGTTGTGAATGCATCTATTAAGATGTGTCTATAGCCACCTTAGTTTGTAAATACCTGAGAAAACAGGCAGGGAATTAAATTAATGCTTTTTTTTCCAGGAAAAGTTAAAACACTTTAATCAATTCAAATTTGGAAATATTTAGAAATTCCTGGAAGTAAAAATAAGAAAAGCAAGCATATGAAACACTTTAAAGAGGAATTCAGTGGAAACAAAGTAATTCCACAAAATTGAGTTAGGATTTATTTTCACATGGTTTGGACTTAATTCCAAAATCATGTTAACTGTTGGAGTGGGTAGATGACTGCTATAGAAGCATGCATTTTTTTACAGACCTGGAGACTGAATGAGAAAGTAAACCTGCACTTTTTCTTGGCTTGAAAGTCACTGTGGTCCTCTGATGTAGTAACATCAAGAATCCTCCTCTCTGAAAATTATTTAAACATTGTTTTAATCGACTCCATGTGTTTTATTTATTACAGCTAGACATGCTCGTCTTCACCTAAATCTGTTTTTTTGGCTATAAAAGTCCTCAGGTAAGTAACTAAGAAGGACACATGCAGATGAGATCTAATGAAACACCCAAAACACATACACCTCAAGCAAACCTTCTAAAGGAAGCAGAGGTACAAGACCAAATAATGATTTAAATGGAAGGAAAGGACTGGGAAAGGATTTAAACATACAAGTTTCTAAGGAAGAGGTCAGAGAGAGAGAGAATTGAGTACAGGGGATATGGGACAGATGGTAAATAGCTTTACAAAACCAGTCCCTAAAATTAACAGCCGCCTTCAAGATTTATTTCTTGTCTCTGTATTTCATTTTTCCATCATTTCCTTCTTGTTCAAAAGAAAGTGTACCGTGTTTTTAAGTACAGATAAACAGAGCCAGGCTCTGAGACATCATTATGGAAAAAAAGAAGCAGGACTGTGTACTCTGCATTCCTACTGAGGTAGCTTCCCTTCCTAACGCGCTCTGAACTGCTTAGCCTGATCTAATTTGATGTCTCCCAAGACATGGGGCTCATGCTACTTCCCTTGGGAGAACTGAGGGGAGACATGAAGACAGCCTTTAATTACAGAAAGAGCTGTTCCTAAAGGAGAGAATAATCTGTTCTCCAGTTTTATGGAGGATATGAACTTCAACTGCAGCCAGAAAAATTCCAGTTAGACGTAAGAAAAAGCTCTTTAATGTTAAGGATACTGTAGCACTGAAACAGATTGCTCAGAGGGCTACACGGACTCCATCTGTGGAAGAACATGCCTAAGAACAGATAAGCACACATCAGTCAAGCACAGCTCAGGCAGAATTGATTCCTACACTGGGACAGGGATGTATAGTAGATTATGAGATTTCTAAAACCCTTCCCAGACCTTTTTCTTGTTCTGTAGTTTTGATAGATTACAACTGGTTTGGCCAAGCCCTACCCTTACTGTTCTCTTGTGGATACCTCCACAAAAAGGCAGAAAAAGAAAGCACCAATCCAATTTTTTTTTTCTCCTGTGGCCACAAAGGCAGTCTCAAGACTGAAACTTTGTCATATCATTTAGAGAGCAGCCAGTGGAGCAGGAGAAGGACCACCCCACACAAATCACTAGCAATAAACTCAATCTGAGGCCACTGCTGCTAAAGAGACCTTATCAGTGATATTTTCTGTCAAATGGCCCTCTCAGTACTCTTAAATATTAGCTAAATTTGTTGCTTTAAACTTCCCCCAATTTTTGGAGACACAGCATATTGTGTCTGGGCAGCATGTTGAAGCTGCATTCAGAAAAATTTAGTATGTGAAGAATAGATGTTCTAAGGTTATTACAAACTTGATGCTCCAGCTGGTGCTGAGTAACCACTGCCTTGATGGAATAAGGATAGGAATAAAGATGGCCAAGTGATTTACCATTTATTAAAGACTCTGTTAATGATTTATTAATGTTTTATCAACCATTTATCAATGCAACCTTAGTAAAAAGCCTGTCTTGTTTCAC